TTGCAATATGCGTTTTTGCTGCCTGTTGCAGCGCTCTAACGCTGCACGGCAAAAACGCATAAAAATGCGCGTTCATTTACATATACGATTGCGGTTAAGGTCCGAGCTTCGAACGAATTTTTGAATATGCAAATTTTCAGTTTATTGAAAGATTGAAAATATTACTCGAACAGTCGTTTTTCAAAAAATCCATGTTCATCTGCACATACAATTGCGGTCCAGGTCCGAGTTGCTAAAAATGCACGTCCATTTGCACATACAATTGCGGTTCAGTTCCGAGTTGCTGACGATTTTTGGGTTCAAGAGCTGCTTGAGGCTGTGGTTGGGGAGCTAGAAGGCTGAGTTTAAAACTTTTATCTCGCACGTGCCTAGGGAATATCCTTGCAAAGTTTCAGCCTTCTACGTTGCCTGGTTCGCGAAATCGTTCCCCGCCAACATATTTCTTTGGGTGTCCCGTACGCGGGGTTTAGGCGCATATGGGGATAGATCGTAAAACGGGAGGATGACACGCGGGGTACGAACATATATCCAAAGTTCCAGCCTCCCAGCTTTCCTGGTTGCTGAGATGAAATTGAGTGACAAAATGCACTCGCTTTCCACACACACACACATACACCCGCTCACACACACAGACAGCCTTCCGACAATATGCGTCTTCACTGGCTGTAGCAGCGCTACAGCGCTACACAGCAAAAACGCATAAAAATGAGAGAAATCATTGTCAAAATTTAATATTATTACCTATGATTTTTCTGTTTCATTTTTTCTAGTTGGACGATATTGACAGTTTAAATGTGATACATGTTGCTGGTACTAAAGGCAAAGGTTCAACGTGTGCACTCACTGAATCTATTTTACGTCAGTTTGGCCTCAAGACCGGCTTTTACAGGTTGGATATTTATTTTCGCACAACTAAATTTTAAACAAGCTTCTTTTTATAAGAAATGCTGCCAACGCTCAGGGTCAAGGACAATATTTAAAACCATTTTGCGGGATAATCAGTCTCTTTACGGCTCATTTATTTCTTTCTGACAGTACCAACCTACTGCAGAGGGTAAGCATGCCGCAATGGCTAATTGTATGCTGCTGCTGTGTAGAAGATCGAAAGTTCGATTTCGCCATTAGGTCATCCAACAATCCCTTTACAATTCTTTCGTTCATTTTTAAAGGTAAATTGGCAATGACATACGACAGGAACTCAAAACCACCATCAGCTTGCTTCTAAGCAACCCTCGAAAATGAGAGCTCTTGCCAGCTACACCGTCTGATAGTTGCCTATTTGTGTTTGGGTTATTTCCAAGTGTCTCACAGAAAGTGGAAAGAACATGGAAGAGATTTTGATTTCGGTTGGCGTGCCTAGCATGCTAGGGCACCGTTATACCATGTTAACTTGATCCTTCACCATTCCGCGGAAGAGGGATTCGTCGAAGGCTTCGCGAGCGAGTGGCTATTGTTGCCGAAGTATTTCCGAATGCCTTGACGGAGGGTTATTGCCGCGTCGCATTAAAATAGAGTACTTCTGAGAAGGAAAAGTGACTACTCAGACGATCGCTAAAAACGCTTACATGCTGAACTGGTGACGCTGATGGTTCCCTGACACAAATGCGCTCAAAGCAAAATTGCATGAATTCCATCGAGATTTCTACATCAATAATTCAGAAATTTCTGATGATATTTTCACTTTTGCAACCC